TTTTCTTTTATCCAAAGTGATCATCTTTTCCCTTTAATCAGTTTAAATTTTATATTCATTATCTATTGCTAAGTAACAATTAGAAAATTAATTGGCTCAAATCAATAAGCAGTTATTATCTCCTGGAGCCAGTGGGTCAGGGGTTTGGGGAGGGCCAAGTCAGGGGCCTTGCCTCAGGGCCTGTCACAGTGCTGCAGTTAGTGTCTGCCAGGGCTGGCGGCACATCTGAAGGCTCTCAGGGGAGGACCCTCTTCCAAGCTCACTTGCGCCTGCTGGCAGGAGCCAATTTCCACAGAGCTGAGTTCCTCACTGGCTGTTGGCCCGTGGGCGCCCTCAGTTCATTACCATGTGGGTATCTCCATAGGGCAGCCCAGAAAGCAGAAGCTGCTTCATCACTGTGATCAAGCAGAGACAGGAAAAGAGTGTGAGTGGGACAGAAATTACTGTCTTTAAAATCAAATCTGAGAAGTGATATCCCACCATATTGTTCATTAGTGGTCATTACCAGGTCCATCCCACACTGGAGGGGCGGGGTTACCCTGGACCAGAGTGCCAGGAGTGGGGATTGTTGAGGACGTGTTAGAGGCTGCCTGTCACGTGTTTATTGTGGTACCTGACTATAGCTGGGATTTTATCCATATTTCTGTTTACTACCTTCTCTTCTCCAATTCTTTATATCCCCCCCCCACCCCCGCCGGTCTCCTTTTCTCCCTCCCTGCTGGTCTTCCCTCTGCCCTTCCTGCTGTCTTTAACTTGCCTTGCTCGGACTTCCGCCCTCCCGCTTTTCTCTTCTGTGCCCTTCCCTTGAGGTGAGCTGGGACAGGTGCTGGTGGTCGGCCTGCCTGTGCAGCCGCAGCTCTCCCTTCCTCCTTGCCTTTGTCTTCCTCGCTCACTCCTGGCTCACATCTTTGTGCTGTATCCTGTTCACTTCGCTAATGTCTCCCTACTGCCCTCAGCTTAAGGTTTGCTTTGTTCATTTTATTTTGAAAGACTTTTAATTTATATTTATGTTTTGACTGGAGGAGGTCCTTGACTGAAGGTATGTCTGTTCCAAGTTTATAATCCCTTTTTCTATAAATCAGAACTTACTCCTTTATCTTTTTGAGCAACTCAAATAAGCATATTTAAAGTCCTTCATCAGTTGGAAATTGTAATACTGGCTGGATAGTTGATGATGTTAAGTAGTTAATGCTAATTTTAAAAAATGTGCAGTGGCACTGTGGTTGTGCTTAAGAGGGTACCCTTATCTTTAGAGCAGTCTGTGGAGGTCTGCACAGATGAAACGATCTGAGGGCTGCTGGCAGGAGAGGTGGAGGGTGGAGGCGAATGGGCTTCTTGGCACCGGAGTGTTGAAGGTTGGTGGTGGCCATCTGGGGTTTTATTGTATTCTTCTGCCTCATGTTTAAATTTTTACACAGTACAAAGTTTTCAGAATCCTTTGTCATTGTCCCATAAAATCAGTTTCATGTGGAGTGAGTTCCCATCTCGGTTGCTGATTTTACTGGTAGTCTTTCTAGTTAAGTTTCTCCGCACATTGGAGATTTGGTTCTCAGGCTCGTCTTGAGTGGAAAGGCTGATTTTCATCTGTTGGTTTGTTTCCCCTCACTTTCTGCATCGCATGTTCATCCTCTGTGGCTTTTTTCTAGCTGTGGACATGTTCACTCAGGGTGGGCTGGGTCGGATTGTGCTTTCTAAAGTCTGTCTCTTTGTGGTCCTGGGGACACTGCCACGCCTGGGGACAGGGTCAGCAGGGTGCTAGGTCTACTCGTGGTCTGGGGTTGGATCTCTGGCCTCTTGGCTGGCTAGGTTTAAGCACACAAGGCCACAAGCCTAGGTGGGGCTCTTCAAGAGCTTTGTGTCAGCTTCTTCCCCTAAGAGGGCCCTGCATGGCAGGAGGCCCACCTGGCCTGGTCCCACCTCTGTGGAGAGTGGTTTCTTCAGGCCCCACAGTATAAAGAGAGGTCCTGGCTGCGTGTGCCTGCTCCAGGTCCAGGGACCAGCAGGCCTGTGGCTTCAGCTCTGCCTACTGCTTTGCATCTCTGTTCTGTGTCAGACGCTTTCATCTTGTTTTTGAACCTGTCCCTGTCTTTTGGTGGTGTGCTCCTCCCTGTCGTCGCTCTGTGTTTGGAGCAGCTAGATGCATCAAAGTGCGAACTCGCTGTGCTGTCTTGACTGGAGGAGGTCCTTGACTGAAATCACTGAAGGTTCCTCCAGCTTCAGTCAAAGGCTGTCCTCCACTGCATGATCTTCACGGTGCTGATAGTTTGCCTTTGTATTAGACACAACATACTTAATTTTCTTGGAGAAAGATTTTCTTGGAAATCTCCTTAGACAAAATAATAACCTGCTACCTCATGAGTTATTCTGTCTTTTGGTCTCCCCAGCACATATCGCTCTCTGAAATTGTCTTATTTATCTGCACACACATTTGCCTCTCCCACTGGGATCTAAGCTCTGTAAGAGCAGAGACTTCTCTCTGGTTTCGCTGATGCGCCTATATCCCTTTACAATGATGCCTGTCACATGGTGGACACTTGTAACATGCTGATAAATATCTGAGTCAGTCCCTGCAGCCTGCCTGTGGCCCTCAATCCCAGTGTCATACAGAGAGCTCATGCGGGCAGGAAGCAGGCATGGGCTGTGGAGTGGCTTTGTAGAGTGGCTGTGCTTTGTCCACTGTTCTCCCTCAGCCCTGCATCAGTGAGTGCCTGCCCTTTGCTGGGCACTGAACCCCAGGCATCTGCTTCACATTCACTTCCTGCAAGCCTTCTTCCTGGGCTACCTCCTGTCCGTCTTTAGTCACAAGCATTTCATTACAAATCTCAGAAACGAATGGAGCAGGGAGGCAGAGGTGGGTCACACAGAAGCATAGGCCATGGGCTGGCCACCTCGCTGGCTCACTTGCGACCAAAGCGGAGAAGTTCGCATGGGGTACAGATCAGAGTTTCCACGGAGAAGGGCAGGCTCACCCCTGTCTAGGCAGCTCACACACTCCTATCTAATCCCTGCCTGATCGTATTCTGGTGGCATGAGTAGAAAGGAGGCCTTGAGGCTCTCAGTGTTCCTGTGTGTCTGAGTGATCTCTCTGGACTCAGAGGTGCTGAAGAGCAGGCATCTTTGCTGGGTACTTCAGTTCTGCATCCTGCTGCTGACCCAGATAGCCTGGAAGCTCTGGGCTGAGCATCCTGGGAGCCTCTGTCCAGAGGAAGCGTCAAAGAGTGTCAGGTGGATGCGGGTAGATGCGTGGATCAGCTTCCTCATCCTCGTCTTCCACGGCTCCTTATGAATGGCAGCTGAAGGACATTGTGGTGGTTTTGCTTCCACATGTCAGCTTCCTTTATGGCTGGGACTACTAGCCAGAAACGGCAGGTCCAGAGCCCTCAGAGATACTCAGTACTGGCTGCTTAATTGTATCGGACGAGCTTCTCCTTGGATGGCACCAGGGATCATTCACAGTTAAGTGCCAGGCTGCTGAGAGGCCTGCACCGGTTAGCCATGCCTGCATTCCCGGGCCACAGCAGCCTCGGCATCATGCTTTGCAAGATTCTGCGAGGAAACCCTAGCATTCAGTCCCACTGTTTATGTTTAGCTTTCTGAAGTGTTGGCATTCCAGAGGCATTCCAGGAGCCTTCTTGGCATTTTTAAATATTCTACAGCATCTGGGAAGCCAAGTTACTGCATTTTTCTGCTCTGCAGGTGAGGGAAAATAGGAGGAGAGCACTCCCTGAAGTCTGTGATGGCCTCTCAGGTAGAGGTATACAGCCTGCTGTCCCACCTGCCCCACTGGCCTGGCATCCCTGGGGCTATGTGGTCAGCTCCCATTACTGACTACCTTAAAGATGCTTTCAGAAGGTTTCATGCCAACAGAAGTATCATTGCCAAGGAGTTACAGGCTTTCAGAAACATGGGTGACAGTAGGAGCCTAGAGTGTCCTCAGGCACACTGAACCCCAGGAGGATTCAGAAGGTGAGTGAGTGTGTGATTTCTCTCCACAAGAATCAGGGCTGTCCTCGGGCCCAGTGCTGCTGCAGCTTTGCACAGAGGGTGGAGATGGCAGGATTTGGGGCCTGGTCCTGGAAAGGCCCCAGAGATAGTGACATTGGTATCCAACAAGTGGACACATGTGCCTGCTGTGCTGTGATGCCAGTGACCTTTGTGGACCTGTCAGATCCCTGCCTGTTGAGATCTCTTTTACCCTCAGAGAGGGAGAGGCAGGTAGAATGCTTCTGCTCCAGTTTCATACATCATGCCCGAGGAGGCTGGGTGTGATTTCCTCTGGAGCAAAGGAAATGTCTCAGGGTCTCCTAGCTAGTTGAGGTGGGGCTGCTTCAAGCCCAGTCAGCCTGCACCAGCTTACTCATCTGGGGTAGCTCAGCCCTCATCCTCACTATGAACTCAAGGGAGGGCCCTCTGCCATGTATTCCTCCATTCCCATCAGGGCTAAGGAAACAGCACCCCTTACTGTACGATTCTGTGCAAGCATCCCTCCCCTCACAACTCCTGAGCGAGAGACTGTGCCACGGACTTCCTGGTGGTGTGGTTCCAGCAGCACTGCTCCTCCACCAGGCACTGCCTGCCTCGACCCAGGTTCAAAGCCAGCTCCTTTCTGAATAGCTGTGCACTGTCAGACAGTTCCTTAGCCCCTCCATTGTGTCTGCCTCAAGTCCATAGTGAGGGATCATAATAATCTCCCTGCCTTTAGAGGTGTTGGAGGGAGCCTAAGGAATAATCTGTGGGAGGCAGATAGTAAGCGTTCAATAAATGTTAGTGATTATTGTCTACAAAATGGTTTTAATAATTATCCACCTTGAAGGGTTGTTGTGAAAATCCAACATAGTACATGTGAACAATCTGCCATAACCCAGGTTCTTCGGTTCATTATTGTGACTCTTCTCATTGTGAGTGTTGTTGCGAGCAGAAATGTCAGTCACCGTCTCCTTGCAGCACCCGTTCAGCACCATTGCTGCTGGCTAACACGGGCTTTGTTCTCTTCCCACTAGGCCAGGGAGCTGGAGAGCAGAGAGGCAGAACTCAGACGCCGTGACACCTTCTACCAGGAGCAGCTGGGGCGCATTGAGAGGAAGGTAAGACTCCTCTGTGGCTGGTCCCACTCCAGCATGACAGGGAGCAGGGAGCAGGCTGCAGGCCCAGGAAGCACTCACCCGGGTGCCAGTCACCTTGTGGGCCCACCCTCCTGCATTCCACAGCAAGCACCGCAGACTCAGCCTTTCAACAAGTTGCATTCACAGAGATAATTGGTTTTTAATTGGTCCGGTTTTTGTTGAATGTGGCTGGCTCTGCTATAGTTCAGTTTTAGAAAAAAATTCCCTTTCACCACAGGGCGGTGCTGAGACCTAGTTTACCTTTTTCACTTTAGTTAAGCTGCACTGGGTAAAAATAATAATAACGTGAAGTCTTGCTATACAAATACATTAAAGTTGTATTATTGATTTTCTCCTGGGAGTCAGGAAGATCAAAGTGCACTACTGCTACACACTCACTGCTTTTCTAAGAATAAGCCTTTGAAATGAATGAGATTTAAAGACACATCATCATGCCTTTGCTTAGATGCCCACAGCGACCACTGAAAATTCATCTGCTAATTTGCTTACTTTGGGGGGATTTAATTTGTTGATCATGACAGGTTTTTCGAAAGAAACGGCTTAAAACATAGAAGGGGATGGTTGGGAGGTTAAAAAAAAACTGTTCTTTTTCTTGCCTGAGACGGCGTGCCAAGCAACCTGAGCCATCGCGTATTGCAGGCAGATCTTCGCGAATCATTTGTCACGGTTTGGAGCTTTGAAACTGACAGTTTGCTTGAGGGGCTTGATTTCCACAGGGGTTTTCTCCCATGGTGTGCCACAGTGGCGCCTGGCAGAAATGTGGCTTTCTGGATTTCCAGGCAGTGGGGATGGGTAGGAGGTTGTACCCTGCCCCACCAGTACCGCTGGTCCACCTCCAAGGGGCGTGCAGGGAGGGCCAGATCAGATGTGCGTGACCCTGAAGCACTCACTGTGCCACCCTGCAGTCTCAGGAGCTGCCAGGCTCACAGAGTAGCTCTTAACAAGCCAGTGTTTGTCAGGTCAGCTTCATGCACAGGTCTGACTGTAGCTTGTAATAAGGATTGTGATTTGAGATCCTGGAAAAGGGTAAAAAAAAAAAAACAAAAAAAAAAACCACCATCCACAGCTCTAATTATCACAGTTGCCCATATGTTCCTAGGCACAGATTTTTTTTTTTAGGTTGTATGTGCAGTGCTTTGGTTTCCCGCTGTGCTTCTCCTGTGATTCTGTCTCTGGGTTTGGCTGCTAGAAGCATGTGTACATGTGTCTGTTTGGGATGGAAGGGCAATAGCCTCGCAGTATTTTTCCTCCTGTAAAATCTCTTTTCCCCTTGTCACTCTCAGCTCTACTTCAGTTCTCCTCCTTAAATGCAATCCTCTGCTTTGCTGAAGGAGAAGAAATTCTTGTGGCTGAGCCCTTCTGTATCATCTGCTCCTCCCCACTCCTGGTAGAGGGGAGTCCGGGCTCCTTACATATGCAGATATGAGCTTTGAAAAAAAAAATGGCAGGTTCTTGTACATACTTGTGAGCAGTTATTAGATGCTTCCAGAAAGAGGTGCAAAAACATGATCTCCGTTCTGACTCTTAAACACAGCATTTTGCTAGTGAGAATAAAAAAAAAAGGAAAGCACCTCCACATCCCAGGAAATGGAGATTGGTGCGGGAGATAGTGCGGATTACAGGGGAGACAGGGAAAGAGGGAGAAAAGCAGCAGAATAATAACGCTTAATTGTATTAGTTTTGAAAAAGGTTTTCGATCTTTCCCATGGATAATTTTATCCCTGTAATGGCTGGGAAGATGGAAAACATGGCATCCAACAATCTTTTTTATTAGCTGTTGCTTTTATACAATTGAGCTTTCATTTGTTGAGTACTCTCAGACCTTGACATTTCCAGCTTCTGTGCACGCAGCTCCAGGACCTTCCAATCATCATACTACTTTCCTTTTCTTTTTTTCCCCATTTCCTTTTAAGTTTAGAAACCTACAATGGAAAGCTGTGAGGGGGGAGTTTCATCGGCTGCCACACCACCCTTGACTACCCGAAATATCGCAGGGTGAGGAGGGCAGGTGGGGAAGGGAAAGTTGCGGTGTGTCCAGGCTGGCTGGAACGCCACCGCCCTTCACCTGTAGGATTTGGTTTCCCTCACTTACTGTGACAGGCAGCAAGAAGTCTGCACAGAACCCAGCATCCAGTTCAAGGAAAACATGACATCTTGACCCTTTTGTACCACTGTTTTCTTCCCCAGACAGTTATTCTTGGGTGTGGAAAGTATATTATGTAGGGCTGCTATACTTTATAATCTTTCTGAGTAATTGTTCCTCATGCCCACACAGCAAGGTCTAAGCGAAGTGATTTCCTCCCTCTCACCATGGAGAGCAGTGAGGTGCTGAGGATGCTGGGCTGTGAGGGTCTCCTGGCAGCAGAGGGCGGGCCCTGGACATGCTGTCACAGAGTGAGGGCAGCAGTGTTGTTCAGGCCAAGGGGCTTGGGCACCAGAGCCCTGGGGCTCCACATACTCTGTGTTGCTGTCCTTTGCCATCACCGTGTCTCCTCACATCTCTGTTGGGAGAAACTCATGCTTTCTGCAGGTCAGTGGGCAGTTTAAAGGAAGCAGTGTCTGTAAATGCCTGGCAGTTGCTGGGTGCCCCTCAAGGGCTGGCCCCATTCCCTTGTGTCCAGCAGCAGTATTGGGGGTTGTGTTTCAGCGTCTCGATTTTGGATCAGTGTGTGTTGTCCATGTGTGTATGCATGTACCACATCACCTGCTCTCTGGGGTGGGAAGCCTCATCTCTGGGCTGCATCAGGCTTTCCTCTAATGCCAGGAGCCCTCCCCAACTCCCCAGCCCTGGTCAGGCAGGGCTCACAAAGCAGGGGACCATGTACTGTTCACAGCCAGCTGTTCTCACACAGGTGACAGAGAACAGGGCCTTTTTGTTTGTAGTTAGGCATGGGACCACGAGGTGAAACCCTCACCTGCGTACACTTAAGTCATGATCACTAACCCTTTTTCCATCTTAGCTGCTCCCCCACTGGATACCTGGCCTCAGAGCTTTGCTCAGTTGTCACTTGGTGACTTTTGGGAGAAAGCAAAAGAACGAGGAGTGGGATCTACACACATCATGCCTGGGTCAGCTCTCCTAAGCCAAGGGTGAGCCCTTCAGAACCAGTGCCTCTTACTGTCTTCTGGCAGGAAGTGACTCTGAGGTGGACCCTGATAGCCTGTGGAGCTGACTGCTCTGGGTGGCCAAGACCTTGCCTTCTGTGGTCAGCCATGGAGCCGAGTTAGGTGGTGGGGAGCAGTGTCCTTTGAGGCCTGGCAGACTGCACTTGACTTCTGGCACAATAATGGGACAGCCTTGAGACTCTGAGCATGCTGTTTGTGTACTCCAGCCTCAGTTTCCTTATCTTTGAAGTGGGGATTTTAAGACTAAACTGCCAACTGTTTTGGGATTAGTGATAATTTGTTTATAGCAACTGCCAGAGGATTGGCATAAGCATTCAGTTCTCTTTAATGCTGTTTCCATCCTCCCTTCTTCAGTAAATGCATAACCACTCATTCATTCCACATTGATTTAAGCCTGCCAACTACTAGGTGCAGAGATGGTTCAGACACTGGTGGTTCCTGCCTCATGAGACCTCTCTGCTTTGGAAGAGAAAGGAGATGTGAGGATTAGGACACCAAAGGAGGGAGTGCCTGTGTGCTGCCTCCTGTGACCAGAGCACCTGCTACTTCTATAAAAGACCTCATCGAACTCTTTCCAGACCTGCCATCTGCACGCTGGAGAGGGGATTCTCAGAGCTAGCTTCAAAGACTGAATCCCGGAGAAAGAAAGAAACATGGACATGTGTGTGTTCTTCTTGGATCACACCTTTTCCCCAGAACGTCATCCTCCCACACTGCCCCTCTCAGGTGCACACAAGAGTGAGCAGTCTCTGACTGCAGGCTGTGCTGTCCGTGACTCCCACCAATGTACTGTTAGGCAAAAGGGGCAGAGATGGAATCGCTTCTGTGGACAGTGGAACAGATCTTTGGTGTTAGAGGCTGGATAATGGTGACCTGGGAGGAGTGGTGACAGGAAGGGGCCTCATGGGCTAGGGTGACAATTACAGGTGTGCTCAGCTGGTGAGGATTCACTTAGGGCTGTGCTCTAGCCTGTCAGCCAGTGTCAGACTCCATAAGCAGAGGGGTGCAGCCCAGCGGGCAGACCAGCAGGACCACCCTCTCTGCTGCTTTGCACCTCCCTTGCTATTCTCTGGGACTCTGCTTGAGCCTTTCCCCCAAAGCCATAGGCCCTGAAGCATTAGTTCCAGCCATAACTAGGCCTTTCTTCCTCACTGTAACTGGAAAACAGTAAGCCAGGAAAGGTGACAGACCTTATCCAAAGACGTGCAGCCAGAATAGTGTAGGCCCTGTCCCCTGGGGCCCCATCTTCTCTGAGTTCCTTTAATTCTGAGTGCCCCAGCTTCCCACTGGTGCAGTTCTACATGTCTCACCTTAGAAAAGTCACTAGAACACTGCACAACTGTACTGTGAGGCCAGTGCTGGGTACAGGATGGGGACGGGGTGTGGAGCTGTACCTCAGTTGGCCTGCCTCTCTTGGAATCAGCAGAATCACTGCCCTCCCTCCTGTCCTCCTCTGGGACTGGCACCCTGTCAGAGATCTAGCACATACCATGCTGCCTCGCGCTTCGTAGCATCTGTGGCTGTCTCTTGTTCCTGGCGGGGAAGGTCTGTGAGCACAGAGTCCTTGCTAAGCTGACTCAAAGGAGATGATTCATCACGAAGGGCTGGGATAGTGTCTGGCATGGAGTAGGTGCTCAGTAAATGTTTGCAGGAAGAAGGAGAGGAAAGTATGTATCTGGAAGCAGGAAACAGTGATGTGGTGGGTTCTAGGAGGGGAGGAGGGAGGCTTACCAAAGAGACTTCTTGGCAGAAGCTGTGTTTAGAGAATAAGCAGGATACCCAGGCCAGCCTGAGGGGCAGGATGTGGGAAGCTGGGGCTTCTGGATGGAGCTCCA